TTCTGCAAAATGGATCAGAAGACCTAAGAACTGTGTGTATGAAAGCCTGGTACATCTTCTTTCTCTTCGATAGAGCTCCATTGTTGTCCACAAACTATTAAACACATCAGTGAGCCACACTGTTGCACTGGGTGACAACATATTGTTGGGTTGGGTCTTTTTCATGGGATTTGTTGACAATAAGAAAAATATAGAATAACAAAAGCAACTTTACACCAAACTCCATTCTAAACGTACTATGTGTACATTTAAATACACTTCTGTTGATCTAATAACAGTTCCGAATTTACAAACAATAACAAACAAATTAAAATGTAACCTTTTAAACGTTTACATTACCCGGCTTTAAATGTGGGCTGATAAGCAGGGTTAGCTGTAACAGTGGTCATCTAAATGACCTTAAAGGGACGGTTCACACCAACCTCAGAAATACATACTTGCTATTTATCCATCGAGACTGTTTCAGCGTGAGTTGCTGAGTTATCAGCCGTGGCTGGAACTACACCTTCCATCTGCAGCTGAACATTAGCCTCCTCAGAGTTGAGGAGGACGCCATTACTGTTTACATACTGTGCGGCCATCAGCATGAGCCTCTCCTTCATGAGTAGACGCACGTTTCCTTCTGTGCAGTAATACATCAAAATAAAGTAGTTCCTACATGAAACTGCTCACAACAAGGCCTGGTTATTATCTTCACTAACCAGGTCATGATTTATGGAAAGAGACATTGCTGTTGAGTTTCTGAAATATATTTTTGGTGCTTTGAGCAACACAACTGGTTCCATTATATTGGAGAAAAAAGGCAGATATCTCCAAAACTCAGCAACTCACACCAAAACTATGTAGCTGGATAAACAGCACTACAGGGAAGAGGAAAATTATGATTTTTTTGATTTGGGGGTGCACTGTTCCTTTAATGGTTTTGCATATAGGGGTCAGTGGAGCATTGGGAAAGATATGGCCTGGAGAGTGAATACACAGCACTCCCTCATCCATCATTATCATATCCCTATCCTGCCCTTGAGCAAGGCATTCCACTGCTGTAATGCACTGTTGATGAGCAGACCCTGCCACTAGCTGTGAGCCCACAGGTTTCTGTCCCAGTGTAACGTTGGTCCCTCTCCACACCAGGACCCCCCCTCACAGAGATCCACATCGTCTGGATTACATTCACACGGCTTTTTTTAACAGTGTCTTGTGTCTGCACCGCACACCTTGATTTTCTCCCCGTCAATCTCGACCAGCCTCTCCCTGAAGTCCACCCCGATCGTGGCCTCGGTCTTCTCGGGGAACTTCCCGGCACAGAAGCGGTAGGTGAGGCAGGTCTTCCCGACACCCGAGTCCCCGATCACGATGATTTTGAAGATGCGGGTCCTCGGCGGCGGGAGAGTCAGAGAGCCGGAGAATTCAACCGACGACCCGCTCTCCGCCATATCACACCGGCAGCTGGACGTTCAGCGGGAGGAAGCCTTCCACCGCAGCAGCAGCTCCTGCACTAACGTCAGCCGTCCGCAGCCGCCGTAACACCAGGTACAGCCAATAAGAAGCTTCTGCGAGACCCGCTACCGTTCGTTATCAAAACAAACGTGAGGAAGACATTTATTCGACGTCCCAACGCTGCCAATACCCTCACTCTTCCTCTGTCGTTAACAAGTGCATCCCGGTCAACACTCCCAGTCCTCCGCTGCGAAGCCACGTACAGTGTTGTTCGAGGAAGTCTATTCTCGCGAGATACAGTTCATGTAGCATTCGCTGTCCCGTGGGAAAGAATGTAAAGGCCAGCTTCGTTGAAAGAATTAGATTTACTCCAACTTTCAGTCAGTAAATACTGCCCACCTCGGCTTTAGCAGTTTGTTAAGATCACTAATATCGAATATACTCACTTCAGTTCGCAGTTGCTCACTACAAATAAAATGTTAGCCTCTGCTTTCAGTTTCTAGTCAGAATTCAGATGATACTTGAATGTACCATTTATGTTCAGTGTCAATAGATAGATAGATATTTTATTTTAAAATATTTTGTTGATGCAATTGTCTGCCAGAAGGAAAACAACCAATCAGAGGCGAGAATGATAGTTGAGTCTTATTCCCAGTTCGCCAAACACCGACGCTGGTAATGAGTCTCAAGAATCAACTTTCTTTAATTCACCAACCCAAAGCTTCTTTCTGTCTTTCTCGGCTCTGATTGGTTGTTTTTGTTCAGACCCGGTAGATTCTTGTCTATTGTTGAACTAGAACGAACAGGGGAACCTGATTTTGTTTCACAGATTATCTGTCTCATGTACTGTCAGGATATAGTGAAAGTTTCAGCAAATGAGACAAAAAGTTATGTTTATAAAAGTTACCTACTGCAGCTTTAACAGCAGTTGCAAAGTACTATTACATATGTTGACTTCTCACAACGTTTAATCATGGCTACACATTGTATTTGAGTATACATTCTGTGTATTAATAACCACACACACATCCACATCTTTCTTTGCATTTTAATAACCATGTATTTCAAAGACATTTGTTATTGTTCTGGATCCTTAGCCTGGGTGGCGTCACTCTGCTCAGGACAAAACTCTGCAGGAGAACAAGTAGAGGGATGACTATTAATGAAAGTCAAATGAATCCATCCATCCATATTTTCAACGGTGCTTATCATTGCTTTGAACTGCTGTCGCTCAGTAATCAGTATTCACACAAACCTCCTTGTTCATAGACGAATGCTGGAGGCTGTAGGAAGCCCAGGCACTTGGCCTGTTCCCTGGCATTCTCCTGGTCTGCCTGTGGCAACACATCTGTCTTTTCTGAAAAAAAGCAGCAGTTATTTCTGGATGTCCATTCAGGCTACCGTAGGTGAACAAACTGATAACGGCCTGTGTCTACCAGTTGGATTGTGGTATGCAGTTTTGAGGTGTTTGATTTGGAGACACTGACACGTGCGCTTTAAAAATTATATCTAACTATGTTTTAGATATTACGGCTAATATTCAGCTTGATTGAACCAGTAACCAGTTCCAACAATGGTTTGCATAATATCCCAGCAGAGGAACAAGATTATTTTCCTGATTTTAAGAGAAGAAGACCCCTTGCACAACAAGAAATTATTAATGTCAGATTAAGGTACAACTATTCTTAAATCCAGCTCCATTAGAGACCGAAATATGTAGTTTGAAGAAATTGTGTCTCATGGTAAGATATTTTTTGCCAGTTCTTAATCTTAGATTAAGGTACACATTCTTAGATTTAGCTCAATAAAGTGACCAAAATACTTTATATAATAATATTTTAATAAAGTCTATCTTAAAGAACTATATTTTTAATTAATTGTAAAAAGCACAACTTGCTTCTTTTTTTTTGTTTTAAGACATTACAGTATTTCAGTGGTTAGATTTTTATGCTAGTTTTAAGAATTCTAGCCAAGCAAAACTGTCTTACCCCAATGGCAGATTGTTTACTGACTTACTGATTTACTGACAGAAATCAGGAAAACATGTGCCAAGAAATGTAAAGTAGACTTAGGGTCCTTCAAATTTAATACTTAATGTTACTTTAAAGCTGCACTATTGAAATATTATTTTGTAGTTTGTTGTATCAGGAAATGACAAATAACTTAGAGGAGCAGGTTAGAGGGTTTTTCAGTTTTAGATACTGTAAAAATATATAGTATTAAGCTTTAGCACAAAGAAAGAAACAATCAAAGTGCTTCTTACTATAGAAAAGTAGATAAGTGCCCTGTTTTCCATCCCTTCTAACAGTGCTGTGACGCATCATCAGACAGTCATCACAGGTCTTCAGGAAGTCAACTTTGGATGTGGAATTATGAGCTGAGAGGAGAAGGAAATCAGACAGGTGGAAATAAAATGTGTACTGCATGGAGACAGTTAGCAATTCTGCAACTAATTATTAGCATAGAAAAGGAGTCTGCAAAATATACAAATATACAATCTGCAAAACCCAGCTGTGAAGTTTGTCCACCATTTTGGAAAATAGGTCACACCAGCATTTGACATCTTGAAATTTAACAGCTAATTCACAATTAATGGTTTCACTTGCAGGACCGAAGTAAACCCATGCATATTTTTCTCGCCAAGCTCCTTTTTTTATTAACTTTGACCCATAAATTTTGACCTTTCTTATTAGCTAGCTAGCTTATTAGCCATGTTGCAACTTTTGTTCTTCACACAATATACCTCACACACAGTTTGAGTTATAACGCATTCTACCTCTGTCTGACATGGATATCTCTGGCAACACTAATCTTTGGTCCTTTTAAAGAATAAAATATTCAAATATGCAAATTTTGTGACTTACTTGCTATTGATATTACTTACTGGTAGATGTGAATTGGATTGTGTTTCCAGCTACAGTGAAATTGACTGAATAGCGGGTGCACCCTTCACCCCTGGGAATGCAAAAGAAACACAAAATGTAGCACAATTTCTGCATTCAAACTGAGGTTAAGGTGGTTGTTATGAGATTGTATTAGGCAATAAACGTTCTTGCCTTTTAAAAAATGGTGGTGGTGATGGAGTGATTTTGTGTTTTGCCAATAGGCTCTCATCCCAGGTCATCAAATACCAACGCTGCTCTGTCACACCCCTTGGCGTCTCATACAGATGCACAAGGGAACCTTGAGCATCAGTAGGAGACACCTTTTTAACGTGTGGGTAACATGGTGAAACGTCACAGTGGAACAGAGTGTTTCTGCAGAGCTGGGCCACAATGATTACTGTACAAAGACACGCCGTTAGCAGTGATTCTGGTGAAACTAGATCATATTTTATGGAGAAAATATTGTCTGGCTTTCTCTCTAATGTCCTCTGGCTGCTCTGCCTCAACGTGGCTAACTGCTGCTGTAGCTGCTGTTAGCATCAAACCGAACGGGGCTCAGCAGCCTCCCAGTGAACACAACCTCTGAGACAGGCAGAGGACAGTGTGACGACAGCTATACCGAGGTGATTCGTGGACTTTCCAGATGGACTTGTTGCTAAAAGTCACCAACAGTTAGATTCTGCTAGTTAGCTCATGCAGCTAACCTCAGCTGACATAGCCCCGGCGTGCAAGGAGCCAAACCCGGCAATATTTTTTTACTAAACTTACTACTAATTTACTATGTCACCTGAGTTCCTTAAGGTTTTCTGGCATGTTCTGGTCTGTATTTGATGACGTGGGAATTTAAACCGGTTGGTTTTCTGCATTGCAACATAATACTGGAACAAGACGATCCATGGGCTGAATTTGTGTGACATTGCAATTTTGTCCAACCACTGAAAATCTGACCAATCATTGTAGTTTCTGGCTAGTTTCACCAATCATAACAGTCAAACTGCAACATGTTGAGCCATACATCACAAAACTAAAGATTTTATTCTCGTGGGAACAAATATTATGCAAATATAGTAATATTTTAAAAAGCCTAAACATTTATTCATATGAACATTCCACAGATATCCTTTACCAGCACTTACACCACAATGGCCTGTTTGAAAAGGACTGTCTGGTTGTCCTCTGAAGGGATAAATTCAATCCGGGAGCTGTTGGTGCTTTTCAGTTTCAGGCTGTAGTAGTCAGAGCTGCTCAAAACGTAGGCCTCATGCAGGATCCACTTCCCAAAGATCTAAGAAGAAGAAACATTCACTTTACTCCTCTGCTGTTGGAAGATGATTGTACTCTGGCCTCTGCTGCACCAGGCTACATTTAAGGACATCATGGTGCTAAATGCTAACCTTCAGTCCCTACAGAGTGTAATAATTCACAGGTAGCCCTGTTTGTTTTCATCTACTTCATGGGAGACAACCCTGCTTCCCATGGAAAATCTGTGGCTGTACTTTGCACTTTATCAGTAATGGGAAAGTTAACGACAAGTACAAACTGCATTTCCTTCCTTCTTGTGCTGGCTTTGCAACTTGCATGTGCACCCACAACCCTCTTCAGATAATCAATCACAACACTGATCAGCAATGAAGCTACCAGAAAAGACGTGAAAGAAAATGTGTTTAGCTTTTTGTTACTTCACTGTGATGTTTGAGCTTCATTCTGCTGAATGTGCAGATTTTGGCTAGGAGGCTGTTTTCTCATTCATCTGTTGAAGGGCGTTTCACTGTTACAGCAAGGATTCATTTCATGTCACCGTCAAAACAAATCAGTCACATTAGCTGGACTGTACACCTCATGCAGGCATATTTATAACAACTCACTACCAGTTAGTTCAGGAAAATACGTTTTTAAAATTTTGAAATACTGATCCAGGAAGGGGCTCCGTGATCACAAAAAGCTTAAAACAAGGGAGTTATTCTGGACCTGTTAATATGAAATATACACATAAAGGCAGCGTACCATGGGCAGCTCCTCAGCAGAGAGGGTTTTGTTCAGAAGGACACACTTCTCAGGAGTTGGAGCGGCTGCAGTCAGGCTCAGCAGCAGAGCCGCAGCAAACATCTTGGACAGGAAGTACATGGTGGGAGCCTGAAGAATGATCAGCACCCTGAGAACCAACTGTCTTGTGAGCTGGAGAGCGACAGGATCACTGTCTGATGTAGTTGATCAGATTGCCCTGCAGTTATATGCCACTGTGTGTGTGTGTGTGTGTGTGTCTGCCTGTCTCTCAAGGTTAGATCAATAACAGTTGCAAACCTTAAAGGTGGGGCAAGTTCTAGGTAATGTGATTCTAATCCAGCACACTTTCTATCAAATTCAGTCAGGACTGAGCACACAACA